ACAAACTTCCAGGCCATCAATTAAAAGTGGATTTCTAAATTCCCATTACTGAATATGCCAACAATCAAATTTTAAGGTTGATATACTACTGGATAAATGTTATTGTAGAAAGGAAGACAAGAAAACTGACAAGTCTATAAAAATATAAAATGGCAAAATGAGTAGGAACCAATAAAACTATATTCCATCAGCTGAAAGCAATCAATCTGGTCCAGGAAAATGATTTCTTCTGGCGTCGAGATGTCTACAACTGTTTAACAGGGCATCACCCAGCACCCTCCCCAAGCATCTCTACTACATTGTAGGTCAGGCTGAGAATGAGTTTTTCTCGAGTATTCAAAGCATCTTATTTTCACTGGCGATTGGTATCTTGGCTTCTCAAAACAGAAAGGAGTGGTTCAAGTGGACCTTAGGCTGCATCACGATCACTGCTCCTTCCAAATAAGAAGTCTCCAAACCCCAAACAAGTAGATTAAACGGACACAACTACCACTATATTTGAGACAAAGCTTTCCCAAATACCAACCTCATTTCTAGCTCCATATCCATGATCTCGCTTTCCACTTATCTAAGATGCCTTCCCAGGCCTCTATGCCTATCTTAGTTCTATTATAGTAGAGTCCAGGTATCTGCTCCCTCTATTAAAACTTGAGAAAATTCTTGCCTTTTATGACGACTGTAGCATTTATTTTAAACTAAATCACCTTGCATATTTGCTCTGTTTATTTCACATGTTCTTTCTCCCCCAAAGTAGAGTATTCTATGCTGCTCAATAGCAGAATGATACAGTTCTGGGCACCTCAAGTCTCAAATACTGGCCCAACAATGCTTCTGTGAACAGGTGTTATATGCATGGTAGGTGGGAACGGGAAACGAAGGAAGGCCACAGTGGCAGTTATGATTGACCATGTATAAATGAATAGAGATTGATTCTCTAGGTGAAAGTTTCTAGCTATATGTATATATTAAAGCCTTTTCTCCATTTGGCAGATATGACTGTTCTGCCTCTCGTCCTCCCACAGTTTAAAAAACAGATATACAAACAAAAACCCAGTAAATACTAATGTCAAAATAAAATATATTAAAGACGATTTCAAGCACAAAAAGACGGTGGCTTGTGTCAGGATATCTTAAATATGGATACAGAGAAGTAGCACAAATAAGATTTCAAAGAAGCACTTTTCAACTCCCAGGATGACATTTAGAATTTGTGTGTGTATTGTGGTCATGTGGGGTGGGTGGCGGGGGGCAGTATCTTTTAAATGAAATATAGTTGGAACTGTGTTGATGTTTCTGGCAATGACATAAGGTGTTGGATGCAAATTGAATTGTTTCGAATAGCTGTTATCTTTCACATATGGGTGCTGAGCACCTACCAGCTTCCAAGCCCTTTGCTAGGCACTGGGAAAACAGATAAACTATAGAGCCTTCCCTTAAGACACTTCCATTCTAGATCAGTGGTGCTCAACTCACAGTGGCTACACAAATAAACACTGGCGATGGACAGCACTAGAAATTCTGTAATTCAGTGGTTCTCACTCTTGGGTACACATTTAAATCCTCCTAGGCCTTACCCTGAGACATTCTAAATTGCTTGGCCTATAGGAGAACCTGGAGGCTGGACACTGGAAATTTTTAGAAGCCCTCTCAAATGAGTTTAATATGCGGCCAGGATGAGAACCTCTGAGTTGGAAAAAGAGACACGTGCACTCCAAGAGAACAAATCACATAAGCATTTTTTTCTTCCTTGATAATTTATGACTTGAACTAGTAGAATATGTTGAAAGTGAGACTGGATGAAAAATAGATTTTTCTCTAATGTGACAGGAATCTAAGTGTCAGGACTCTTTCTATTAGAGATTTAGTCGTTATCTGCAAATCAATATGGAATATTGAAAAGAACTTTGAAATCTCAGTTAACTCACAGTAAACTTAAGTACAATCATGACCAAACCAGACGGAAAGGAAGAAGAATGACTTAAGAAATCTTGCAGTCGTCTGCACACTGAGATGGAATCTGTGTCCAGATTGGGTTGAGTGGCATAGCATTCCCCTAAAATCTGGGATTCTCGGGACGGAGACCTCACTGAGCACAGAACCCATGGAGTAGATGGTGCTAGAGCTTGCCTGCTCTTTGAAAATAAAGCAGTGACCCCTTGAGTGTTTCATGACAACAGAGTCTCTCACTCAAATGTGGGTCTCCTCTAAAAGGAAGAATAAAAGTATTTAATTAGCTAATTATAATACACACACACAATAGAGACTTTAAGTTTTAAAAAACACCAGATAATGTGACTAATTTCACAATGGAATATACCAGATATTGCCATGGGGATAAACTATGCTCAGGATGAAAATGAGACTCCATATACTACCTAAGCCATGTGGTTGACCGTGCATGGGAGCCCCCAGAGGGCAGTGCGACTCTAAGAGGACCTTGACGACTTTTGGATGCACATATAAATAAATACGTGCACTGCCCTAGGGAGCTCAGTGGGCAGCTTTTACTAGGTGTGATTTTTGTGGTCTGATGTATTTCTGTTGCATTTTATTTAGGGAGAAGGGAGTACATTCAAATTGCACTTTTGTGAATGAAAGTGACTAAAAACATGACCAGGAAGTCCTAACATGCTCTGGCTTTGTAAAACACTTTAAGTTGGGAAATGGAGTTGTTTAGGTCGTGGATCCAGGGGGAGAAAGTCCACATTAGAGCATGTCGGAAGAGCCATGAGTCCTTCTTCTTAAACCCCCCTACCATTCTCTATCTGATCTAGCTACACCATTGAACCACAACTAAGCCAAAAAAATGTTCAGTGGGTTATTTTGGCCACAGAACAATGAGGCATATCCTGCTCTTCTGGTTTGAGTTTTTAATGACAAGTCCATGGGTGCTATAGGTTAAGCAGATGGAAATGAAACATCCACCTCATATGGTCATTTTATTGAAAGAGTTTTACACGGTCAGGTAAGAATCATGGAAGAAAATACCAAAAACCAAGGCAAAATACTATGAAGTGAATGCTCAGTCTGATATGTCTGGAATCATTGTCCCCAGGCTCATGATCAAACCCTGGCTGTATTATTTATTCATGCTGTGACCCAAAGGCAACAGAGGCAAATCACTTAGCCCCCGTCTAATTTTCCTTAAACGTAAAATGAAAATAAGGACAGCATGTACCATGCAGAGTTACTGTGAGGATTAAGTGAGTTAATGTGCAGCATGCAATAATCATTCATTGCTCTTGTCGTTTTTATTGGCACACTCATTGTCTATTGGATACTAAGTTTACTCTTTCACATGTTCATTCATTAATTCGTTCAACATATATTTCCTGAGCACCTGTCATGTGCTGGGCATAGTTCTAGGCCGTGGGGACATAGCAGTGAACAAAGCCAAGCCTCTGTCTTTTTGAGCCTTACATTCTAGTGGCTGAGAGAGAAAAATAGAAAAATGAATAAACAGATAAAAAGCAACGTCAGGTAGCGATATATGCAGGGAAAAACAATAGTGCAGGCTGAAAGAAGCGTCAATGGCAAGGGTTACTTTTAATAGACTGCCAAAGAGAACCTCACTGAGTGTAACATTTGAGCAGAGACCTGAGGTTTCAATACTCCTGGTGACTGGGCCACCTATTTTTCTTTCTAATTAAATCAATCAGGCCATTGGTATAGCATGCACTCTCAGCCTTCAATTCTGTGACATGGAGTCCTACGTCTCCTTTCCCCAGCATTCATGTTTTAGTTGCCCAGGGATGTGTGATTACACTGACAGCGTTGCACTGAGGCAGGCAAAAACGTCTGTCTCACTTGTAGCCCAGCTAAAAATTCTTGAATGTTAAAATGTGGCAGATCATTATTCCACCTGCCGATCCTCAAAGAGTAAGCTACTGCTTTTTTCCCCTCTCCTAAAAATAGATAGCTGCTTCACTAACGTGCTGTGTAACAAAGAGTCTGCCTGGCTCTCCATCCCATTTATTTCTTATTATTCAAGTTGGCTAGGATGGTAGAGTTAGCTCCTGCCTCCCCAAGGAATTGTGACCAGCCAGCAAGACACAGAGAATGTAGATTCCCTGTTAGAAAAAGCCTGGAGGGATCATCTTAACTCAGCTTAACTAAGGGAATCGGGACAAGGAGGCAGGAGTACTCCTACTCTCTCCCCAGTGCAGGGATGGTTTAGCGTCACCTTCACTAAGACAGAATATACTGGAAGGCCGATCTGACCTATCCCAACTGCCCTTAGTCACATCTCTGCTACCTCCGCCTCCCCTCGCCCTAACAGATCCGAATCAGACTGATAACAAGAGTGTGGGTTGGGAAGAGAACAGGGAGTTAAAGTTCAGGCTGCAGCTGGAGTTCTAGTAATTCAGCCTTGGGAGAGAGAACTGAAGCTGAGTCAAACTGCCGAGGGCCTAGGCATTGCATTCCTGACATTAACAGGACTGTAGGAAGCATCCCATGTGGCCTTTTCATCTTCTGCTCCATTTCTGAGCTGGGATGAGCACAGGCATACAGCCCTTGTTTCAGACAGACGTCATGCCACTGAGCATGCTCCTTGAGGGCAGGGCTGTGGTTGTGCTTTTGGAGACACCTCTGAGTGTCTAGCATCACGCTTGACTCTCTGATCTAGGCCATTTTGGTGATGTATTTATTCATGATTTCATTATGAGACCTGTTTTCTTAATGAGCTATATACACATGGGGGCTCACTGGCAGCATTACTTGGTTTTGAGAATTTAAAACCTCACTGTTGTTTACCAAATATCAAGTAAGAATGCTGATTAGAAAGGCAGCCTGATATGCTAAGAGAAAGCACTGAGCGTGAAGTCAGAGGACCTGAGTTTTAATGTTTCTGAATAGGTGAAAGAAAATGCACAGAGAGAAGACAGAGTTCTTTGCTATTTGGTGCATCAAATACACCAAAATGTTAATGATGTCGGTAGATTGGGATTATTGGTGATATTTTTCTTCTTAATCATTTTCTATGTTTTTCTCAATTTTACCTAATGAGCATATAAAATAAGAATAGTGACATCATATAAGAGATCAAGCTAGAATCTCATTTTTTTCATCTATTCCTTCTGTCACTTTGAAGCCAGGTACAGTCGCTTTTGAGGGTCCTTAGTTTTCCCATCTATAAAAGGAGAGGTAGGGATAAGGAAGATCCTTCAGTTCTCACATTCTGAGCTGCTAATGAAGTTTTTAAAAATGATATTAATTAAAAAAACACACAATTTAAAGAGCTGGGACATTACGACTTCTTCAAGTCACCATTACCAGAGTTGCCATGTGCTGCAGGAGCCAATCCTTTCAGCAGGGTTCTGACTCCCAGTCTGAGAGTTCACAGGTGTTGCTATTATTCTGAGTTCACTTGTGAGTCACAGTTGGACCGGTATTGGATGTTGAAATGTCTTTGTTGCCAACGTGTGGGATTAATACCAATCTATTCCTAACATCTGCCTTCAGCTGAAGCAATGTCTTTATTTCAAATTCTGCCTTAGCGTGTCCAGCAGACATACATAGAACATAGTACATCAATGATCTCCTTTAACCACACCGTGAAACAGAAACAAGTATTATTATCCCCATTTTATGAACGCTGAAACTGAGGCTCACAGAAACACAGCAAGGTACCAGAATTGGAACCTAAGGCTGCTCAGACATGCTAAATGTCATTCTAGGAATCTGACTGAAGAAAAATGTGCATAGCTAGGTTTGCTGGGGGTTACTGAGCTTCTAGTTGTCTCTACGTGGTTTTCCTCTGTGACTTAGGGACAGCAAATCTTCTAGCCAAAAGGATTTTGATATTGTGCTGTTTTCTTGTTTCCCAGGGATGGAGATAATGATCAGCACTGCAAAAGCCTCTACCACTGCTCTCACCCAGAGCGGGAGACTTGAGGGTAGATGTAGAAGTTGACAGAGTACCCCAGTGGAGCAGGTGGCAATTATGCCACGATCTCGGCTCCTTCCATGTGAGAATGTCCCAAAACCCAGAGAGAGGTAAATGTGGCAGCAGACCCAATGGAAAGCTCCTAGATGTGAGACTAAATGACACACCCATGGAGGCTTCTCGACTTGATTTTATGGTCTCAGTTCAATTCAGACCTGAAGTAGAGCCCATTCATGCTTTAAGATTCAGAGAGGTAACGCTGGCTTCCGATTGGCATGGCCACCCTATGGGAGGGTATTGTTTCCCAGCTTTGTGCTAGCATGACATTTTTATCACAAGGGCCAAGAGCAGGGCTAATGCATGCAAGGACAGTGAGTGTGGTCAAAGAGCAGCAGGATTACTAATTAGTGTGTACAACTCTACAACTTACAGTGAGGTGATGTTGGACGAATCCCATAAGTTCTTTAAACTCCATTTCTGCATCCATAAAAGGGACATAATAAATCCATTTCACAGCATGTTTATGAGGATGAAACTAGGACATTTATCCAAAGTGAGAGGAAAACATTATCTGGGTATGTTAGCAGGCATTTGGTGGGTATATATGTGAAATGGCATGCACATGAGCAGGGGGTGTGCCATAATCTAATGAGTCTGGGAAACACAAAAGCAACAAAATTAAGTTAGTATGTCATAGCTCTGACATCACAAACTTCCCACTCCATCATGGAGTCCAGAAGCTGCTCAAAAGCCCCACAGACAGTTCAAAGAAGAGTCAGAGAGTGAGGATGGCCTGAAGAAGTGAATCTAGCCCACCTGCTTGTTTAAAGAATACAGAGACAAGATCAAGCCATGTACCACAGGTCTTCCTGCAATTGGCCAAAGGACATAAGGACATCATGTTAGGAGTCTTCAAGGTTAAGGAGTTCACCTCAAGGTCAAGAAATACTCATACTGGCCCCAGGCTGGTGCCCAAGACCCTCCGTCATGATCAGGTTGGTCACTTTTGATCACAAAGAGCAACCCATAAGATTGGCTGGCAAGATTTGCCATATGAAAAGACCAAGTTACAAGAAGGTATTAGTTTAGCCTAGAGGTGACATTAATATCTTGGTACTGCTGTGGTCAGATTCCCAAGCAGATAGGGCAAACCCAGCAAGATTAGAAAGTTCCACGTAGAGGCCAAAGCATAGCAAGATGGCAGCATCAACTTAAAGAAGTCCCAAATGAATCTAACGTCAGCAAAGGAAGCCACTGCAAGTTGTGAAAGGCTGGTCTTTCTGCTAGATCAGAAATATTTAAGGGAACTTTCCAATCTTGGCTAGAGCCAAACAAAAAGCTGAGATTTGAAGGAGACAGAGTATGCTACAAAACAGCAAGAGAAATATACTTTGGCTCTATGGAAACCCAGGTGGGCATCTACCGTCCCTCCTTGAAACATGGTCTCTGCACACAGGACCCAGGTAATTAATTTATTGAAAATGTATAATATACCAGCAGTACCAGCTACATGACAGACATTATATTTAATAATTAAATAATGTGCCTAGGGTAACATTAATGGCAAGAACCAGGATCCCGGTTGGTCTGATTTCCAAAGCCCAGGGTTTTGCATTTATACTGTGAGGTGAGCAGGTCGTTCGGCTTTCCTAAACCTATTGGCCTCTATGTCAGTATCCCAGTGCAGGAGCCTTGCCAGGACTCCTAAAACTTGGTCCCATGCTTATTCATTCACTCCCACAGTTCAAAGGCCCCAGCACTCAGGATTTTTTCAAGCAAAGGAGGATTTAGGATGCTGGGATAACTAACATATCCTCAGGTGACTAAATAGTAAAATGAACCACAACTTATGTCAATAAAGGAGAAATTACCCCACTTCCAGGAAAATCTGAAAGTCTTGCAGTAGATTTTGAAGACAATTTCATACATACTTTGCCTGAGTGCACCTCCAGGCCATTGTTCCAGCTTTTTTCTGTAGTGAGAATGCCTGTGTCTGGTCAAATTCTGTGTGTTTTTCAAAATCCATCTCATCATGTCCTTTGCAGAGACATGGATGGAGCTGGAGGCCATTATCCCTAGCAAACTAATGCAGGAACAGAAAGCTAAATACCACATGTTCTCACTTAGAAGTGGGAGCTAAATGATGAGGACACATGGACAGACAGAGGGAGACAACACACGCTGGGGCCTACCAGAGAGTGGAGGGGGTAGGCAGGGAGAAGATGAGGAAAGATAATTAATGGATACTAGACTTAATACCCGAATGATGAAATAATCTGTACCACAAACTCCCACAAGTTTACATATATAACAAACCAGCACATGTACCCCTGAAATTAAAATAAAAGTTAAAAAAAAAAGTCTATCTCAAATCTATCTCAAATCTAATTTCCCGCTCGGAAGTATTTGCTCATTCTCGCAACATGCAGGGGCCTTCACTGCTCTGAATCTCTACGGCAAATATTTTATCTTGTATCACAGGCAACTAATAATTTACCTTTACCCAAAACTTTGCAGCCATCTGTCAACTGGTCAAAGTGGAGACTGCATATTCCTCACACCTGTATGTTCTGAAACATCCAGAATAACACCCTGTCTCAGAAGACACTCAGGAATGATTCCTGGACTTAAATGCTTATGGAAATGTCCAATACACATCGTCACAGAATAGCTCCTTCGAGCTTCCTGGAAAAAAGAAGTAAAAGGGAGTAACACCCTTGGTCTCTGAGCAAACAGCTTTCCTACTATCTTGGAGACTGGTATTTTTATATATCCCAGAAGTAGCATGGCACATTTTATAAAAATGTTTGGAGTTGAAAGAAAAAATACTAAACCAGACAAATTCTGACCTGAAATCTATAATTCCTTTAAAATCCTTCTGTTTAAGATGACAAGCAGAGATTGATTAGTCCAAGGTTGATGAATGGATAGCTTCATTCCCCACAATCTGTCTTCCCCTTTATCTATTGAGAATACACGTTTTACCAGTGCCATAATGTTTCCATGGCAATTTACATTTTGAACTTTTCACAATCGTTTTCTGTTTGCATTCAGCATGCTAAAAAAGAGCAGTTAGGTCCACATAGGAAACAGGGAAAGACTCAACCATTGAGATGTTAAAGGTCATCCTTCAAATCGGAGGCAGATCTGAGAAGACAACACTGACTTCAGAGACTTGGGCTCTGAAGGCATATTAATCAACAAGCCAGCTGTCCATACAAAGGAAATAAAGAAAAATGCTACCGAATTAGAGTTAGAAATTTCTATAAATATATCACTATTTAAAAACCTTAGAGTAAAAGATTGATGCAAGTTGATCAAAATTGGGCAACCTAAGGAGCAGATTAAAGAACACAGATTCCAAGCCCTACCCAAACCCCACTGAATCAACACCTTGGCAAAAATGCCCAGTTACTTGCATTTTAGTAGGTTCCCCAAAGATTCTGTTGTGCAGCTATGATTAACATCACGGATTTAGGTAACTGCAAAGATGTCAGATTTGAACTCTCCCTCCCAGATTCTGTTCTGCCTTGCCATGAAGTTCCCATTCAAAATGGTAGTGGGGGTTGTGGAATGATGTGGATAGTTTTCAGCCTGCATCCAGGTTCATTTTAAACCCCTTTAAAGAGTCCTGAACAAGTCTATGGAAGAGAGCATCCTGACCCTTCGTCTACTCGTATGCAGTCTTTGGCCCTGACATTTCCTCAGAATCAGGTTTTCACTCTTGTGTTGTCCTGGTATGAAAAGAAAACAAACCCCCAGCAAAGACAGCTCATTTAAACCCAAGATATCATTCCACAGCAATAAACTGTAAACACAAATTCACTATATCTCAAACCCATTTGTAACCAGACAGCATTATTCTACTTTTAAGGGAAGGACTTTCTTATGATTTTCTTCTCTTGCACACTGAGAAGAAAAAGCATTTTTTTTTTTTTTTAGATGGAGTCTCACTCTGTTGCCAAGGTTGGAGTGCAGTGGCATGATCTTGGCTCACTGCAACCTCTGCCTCCCGGGTTCAAGCAATTCTTCTGCCTCAGCCTCCTGAGTAGCTGGGACTACAGGCGTGTGCCACCACACCTGGCTAATTTTCGTATTTTTAGTACAGACGGGGTTTCACCATACTGGCCAGGCTGGCCTCAAACTCTTGACCTCGTAATCCGCCTGCCTGAGCCTCCCAAAGTGCTGGATTACAGGTGTGAGCCACCGCACCCGGCCGCATCTACTATTCCAACTACAGTTGGGTTACTGTTAGACTTGTGAAGATTTGAGGAAGCAGATTACCCCGAATCACAGCAATACACAAGTCAGGAAGGGGAAAGAAAGAAAGAGAAAGAGAGAAAGAGAGAAAGAAAGAAAGAAAGAGAGAGAAAGAGAAAGAGAAAGAGAGAGAGAGAAATGAAGGATAGAAGGAAGGAAGGAAGGAAGGAAGGAAGGAAGGAAGGAAGGAAGGAAGGAGGGAGGGAGGGAGGGAGGGAGGAAGGAAGGAAAAGAAGAAAGAAAGAAAGAAAAAAAGAAAGAAAGGAAGAAAGAGAAAGAAGAAAGAAAGAAAGAGAAGAGGAAAGAAAGAAAGAAGGAAAGAAAGAAAGAAAAAGAGAGAAAGAAAAAGAGAAAACTATCAGGTCGAACAAGGAGTATTTTAACATCAGCGTTAAAACATAATAATATGATTTGACTGTTTTTTCCAATCCTTATGATTAGAAGAGTTTTTTGTTTTGGGTTTCTGGTGCAAAGATAAGACTCCAGGATGAAATAACTTAATGGAAACAACATGCATCCACCCCAGGATTACATCCAGACCAACCCTGAGGGAAGGCTCTCACTGTTATCCTGTTAGTATTCTTTGTACTGTGCTTGAACCAGGTGAGCTAATGCCTCATTAATGAGGGCAAGGCCACCACTGAGATAATTCCTCCCCTTCCGGGCCTTAAAAATAAAGAAAATACAAAACGTCATGGAAAATTTTCATGAGCCTTTGACAAAATCCATTCACTAATTACAAATCAATCATCACTCTTCTCAGAGATCCTACGCTCAAGGCTCCTCCTGAGAGAGCGCCTTATCCTCACCTCTTACCACTCCCCTGGACAGCAAGTAGCTCATGGCCAATAAAGTATTGAGATCCAGGCAACAGGGCACTAGATGGGATGGTTCCTTCTACTTGTGCCCCCAGAGCTGCCATTGTCTTTCACACAAATACCCTTGCAATCCTTCTGGCCCCATGCCATTTTCTTGAATCCTTCTCCTACCATTATTTTGCAGCTATCCCACACTGTACATAGTCCAACTTCGAGGTCTCAGCCTGCTCTTTCTGAAACCATTTGCAAAAAGTGAAAGTCTAGCCCTTCATGCTGCCTTCCTTCTCTGATTCCCCAGACAGTAGGGTTGGGGTATTCATGGCATGGGAAACATTCATCTCTGCCCTTTTCTTTTTTTTTTCTTTT